GACAAAGCCACGAACATTTCTATCCTCCCCTGAGGCACGATATATGTTTAAAAATAAGACGAGAAAAATTCAGCACACTTATTGTCAGACAGGAAATGTTTCTATCATTTAACTTGTCTCAGTCACTGGTGCGGCGCACTCACACGCACAAAAGAAAGAGAAATAATTTATTTGAGTAGACTTTTTGTAAGCAAGCAATTAAAATTTATAAACGTGGCAAACGCTGATAGGCTACCTCACTTTAAAGTTGTTGGAAATTTTCAATGTACCTATATACCTACTACACCGATTGTATTCGACATGAAATGTGGATGAGAAAATTTGGATTGTAGGTAAGTTATGCTGGGTTTCTCACCCTACTTGGTGATCCATTGCTGCAGGCACGGATATTAAGGAGAATAAAGTTTAACAGCTTTGCGAACTTGCAGGCGCGCCCTGTATCAGCCAGGAAAGTTTGAAATCGATTATATCTTTCAACTTTCCAGACTCTTTGGATACGGAGAATGGAAAGTTAAATAGACTTAATTTGCAGACGTGTGATAACACGGAGAGAATGAGTAAGTTATGAGTCACTAATGCTGGTATTCGCAGGTAAGGCGCTCCGACTATATGCGTACATTCGAGTGCGATATTTCATGAGCTATTCGTCTTGCGTCATGGAGAGGCGAAATACAATATCGATTTATTCTCATTGTTCACATTGAAAGAGGTTATGTCATCGCTATTGTTTGGGTCCAATTCACTACAGGACAGGGTACGATCTAAAACACATCGTCATTTATTTTTTCTTCAAAATATTACCCAAAAAATTATTCCCACGACGTGAATTTTTGCTAAACGACATTAAGATGGATCCTAAAAAACCAAAACCTGATTCTTAACGTGTTCGTCAAGTCGCTTACAAAAATCGCTAGAATCTTAGAAATGGCAATCGCAATTGTATTTCTAGCATTTTAAGGGGCATGAGGACGGCATAAAATTAATTTTCCAAAAAGTGATCAGCATACTTAAAAGTACTAATAAATGAAAGCTTGGACTCAAAAAAATGAGAGTTCTAACCAATTTTTAACATGCGTAAAACCGACGTTTTGCACTCGAAAACTAATGCACATGGCTTCCGTGTTCTACATCGTAAAACGCACGATCGAATCGAAAAAAAGATGCTGGAATTAAAGAGGTTATTTTCACGAAATCAGAAAGCACAACCTAAAAAAAAAGTTCTTATCTAAGTTATACAAATACATAAATTTTGCGCTTTAGTCCGTCTTGATTTTCAAAACCTTTTACGTGGGCTACCCTATAAGACGAGAAAGGGGAGAATGAACTGGAAGAATGCTCTAAACTTGACCTAAATTGCCTAAAATGATCATTGTTTACGTAAATACAGGCAGAAGGTTGATGAGTCCAGTGGCGAGACGTGAATGATCGATTATCGATATTTTCCCATTTGAAGCAATGGTAAAGAATCGATTATTAAGGTGTTCGTTGCGAACACCCTGTTTATTGATCCTTTTCCATAGGTTTAAATGACAGATTAACACTGGTAAAAATTGGCAGTAGAATCTGTGTTCCAAAATACCATAGACCTACAGCCGGTTGTAAGATTTCCAATAGCTTCTATAGCCGGCTACACAATTTCTTATAGCCTTTTATGGCCGATGGCGATTACCTAAGCAACAGCCAGGCGATAGAGTGTATGCTAAACGTTACTAATTACGGATGCTAGGACTTAGTGAGTTTTTGGAATACTGCTCTCTTTTTGGGCCGTAGTATCTTGATTTATTTTGCGAGAAAAGCTCCGTGCTTTTGATGGATGCCTGCCATTATTAATATATTAGAGCGCCTTCAGTTTCGTGTGATACTGTGCAATACCTCTGGTGTGAAATAGTTGCTTCAAGCGCCGTGGCAAGCGGGCAGCCAGCGCGAAACACGCATTGGCGCCTACAAACCTAACAGGGATACTTCACGCGTTGCGCAATGCGTGAAGTATCCCTGTTCGGTTTGTAGGCGCCAGTGCGTCGCCGCTCCGCTTTGTGTTAGGCTCTAATATTTAATCTGGCGGAGTCAGCGTTATTCAACTCATGATTTTGAGATGTTTGCACATCCTGTATGGATTATTCTCATTTAAATTGATGAAAAAAAAAATATGTATTAAAGGAAAATATAATGTGTGTTTTGTAAATATTAAGGTGGTTCCGTATCAAACTTAATGATTTCCAAAGCAAACGAATGTCTACACAGTTTCTTATAGCCTTTTATAATCGATGACGAAAAAGCAACAGCCAGAAGATAAAGTGTAAAGCCCGGCGATAGAAACAATAGCCCGGCTGCATAATTTTTTACCGCTTCGTATAGCCCGGCCGTATGATTTTCTCCGCATTCTACAGCCATCTATATGATTTTCTGTAGTCTTCTTTAGCCAGCTATAAGAATTTCTATGGTATTTTGAAACGCAGCTCTTATCGCCTTTTTAACCGGGAAATACATATAGCAAAGCACACCACTGTCGATAAACCTTTCTCGGCCCTCTCAGATAGCACTTCAGTTATTTATCATGCAATAAAATGGAGGAAAATGAGCACATGCCACAGCTAAATCGAAAAAATCTATGTTTTAAATACATCTAAGGAAAACAAAGATGTGGTGAAGGGTTGCAGAAAGATCACAATTGCTTGTTTTTCCCCCTCATCAGCTTTTAACTTTTTCTACACGGCGATAAGTTTCATAATCTTAAATTCCCAGAATTTCCTGGTTTCACCCTGATTTTCTTCTAGACGTGGTTGGGTACAGTTATGATTTTTGCAAGACATTCATTATACCTGAAACTCAAAGGCATGAGCGGAACTATCCGGAGGGGCCTGCCCGCCTGCTCCCCCCCCCTCCCCCATCTACTAGACTCCTCCCCAAGAAATGTGGGGGATTTTTCTAAGTAGGTCCGTGACATGTCTTACATCTTTGCAATTTTAGCTCCATCAATTTTCCTGTGAAAGAATCTCAAAATTGCCTAGGAGACGACTCTATTTTCCAAAATTTTTCAGAGGAGGTCCTCCGCCCCCGACCACCCTTCGGAGCTAAGTATATGAAGCTCCTGCACTATTTTTTAGAGCAGAAGGGGTTCCACAGATAAACCCCCCTCCCCAACGTATTTTTCTATAACCCCCCCAGACCCCTCTAAATACAGTCTTCTCCTAGCCCCCTCCCCCACAAAAGGCTCCTAATTCTGCTTATGTGCCAAGGTTGCCCTGTTGCAGACTTCCCAATTTGGGTACTTCATTTTTTCAGTGGAAAAATTTTCAACATTATTTTTTTGAAAATTCTATGATTTTCCTTTCCAATCGAAGGAATACGAGATAAAACTTTTGGGTGGGAAATTTGAATCCGATCTCTTGGAAAAAATGAGGCAGGAGCAAATACCTATTTTGAAACACGGTGGAAAAGATACTTGATTTCTGAGTTAGCCATCGACACCTACCTACTTACCTACTGCAAACTTTGAGTTCTACCTATCAATAATAGAAATAGAAATGACAAAGGCATACTTAGGAGCCATTCTAAACTTTTGCTCAGATGAGGAAATTCAAGATTTAACGGCAAAATTACCTGACTTTCTCGGGTTTCTCTAACTTGTCACACTGTTAATAGTACATTGCAATGCCTCTTTAAATTAACATCACTATACTTTTACAGACAGGATTTCAGTCAGTCTCTGTACCATCAGCAGGAATTGAAAAGAACCGCCTTACATTATGAAAAATCTAAATGCATGTTTGGATGGAGGTTAAAGACACTTTGAACTGTTATCTGGCACTATGAACTAATGTGGTAGTATTGTGATTGAAAACAGTGTTAGACATGTAGAGCGAAGGATGATTCTTTATCTTTAAACTACAGTTAGTGCAAACTATTCTAACCACCCTCATCAATACAGATGATTAATTCAAATCGAGTCGACAGCGGTTCAGTTCAATTGTTACATCCATGCTAATTCAACGAGGCTTCAACAAAACACTAATTGTGGTGCTTTTTTAAATGGAGGTACTTAGAGGGAGATTTTTAGAACCCATTCTGACCAAAAAGTTGCAAGGTAACACAGCATATTTTCCTAAGTTGATTAGTGAAGTTTATTCTCAATGATGAAAAAAAATTCATTTGCATCAAGCAGTGTAAGTAAAGCACTAAGTAATCTTGGACCTACTCCAACTTTTCCAATGGAATTACAATTCCATCCGAAGACTTTTCATGGAAACGTTTTGTTAGCACCCTGTGCTTGCACAATATACATTCTCTCTTGGCCTAACCTGTCAATTGGAAAAGTTGTAAGTAATGTCAGGCAAGTCGATGGTGATATTGTCAGATCATGAGAGGAAATGTCCGACTTGTGCGGAGCAAAAAGTTATGGAAAGGTTCAAGGGTTTGAGTATTACTTCTATGGATATGGCTTGAAAAAATCAAGTGAATTTAAAACGGAGGGGTCACTTCTAGTGTTATAACAACTCGATTCTGATGACGTGATACGCTCACATACCAAGTAATTTCAAAACTGGTAGTTTTAACGTGATTCAACTTTGGCCTTACAGGTAAAAGTTTAACATTGTCTTTTCCAGAAACTTCAAACAAGGATGCAGTTTCTCTGACAGATAGAGAGGTGTGGTTAGGTGGAACTGAACTAATTAAGATCTTCCAGATAAAACGTCCTACTGAAAGTAAGTACTCACAGTTCTAACTTCCAGACGATGTGATTGAGGTTAGAAGTTAAGTTGTTTACGATAAACTAAACAATGACAGTGCATCATGATTTGTTGGCAGAATTCAAATTAAGTGGAGCTAGAAGCAGAATAGGAAGTTAGGACAAATGAAGAGGCCTCTACTTCAACTTTGCTGAATGCCCATTGACATTTTTCTTTGTGCTCGCACCAGCCGTCCATGAATTCAAAACAAAAGACTCCTTCCAACAATAACTTGTGGACTTAAATAGGATGGCAAAACAATCAATGAATTACCTGGTTTCTTTCTTGGCTTCTTCTGGATTGGCTGCCTCTACATTCTCGATATTTTCAGCGGCAGCGACCGCGGTGGGTGAAGTAGGTTTTTCATCTTCTTTCACTTCAGAATCTGATTTCTTAGCCACACTTCCCACCCAATTGCTCATCTGATTTGTAATTCCCGAAAACATGATTGCTTTTTATTGACACACCCGATTAGAAACGAAACGATTCACTTGGAAGAATTATAATCGGAAACATTGATGAACACATTCACGAATTGACAATCCAAATTCACAGGAGACGATAGATAAACAACATTTGGTTGTAGAACGCAACACGCGAGCGATAAGTCATGACGCAAGTCAGCTGATTATGGAGCAACTCGAGTCGTTGAGAATCGAATTTACAACAACGTAAATCAAAACGGAAGCTACGGACTGGCGGAAAACACGGCGCACGACGCAACCTGCGGCAGAACACTGAGAAGGGATGCGGGACGGAAGAAGCAACCCGCGAACTGTTGGGTCACTCCATTCAATACTCTCGCAACCCTTAATTGCGCAAGATTCCAGAAACTGCGCATTTCAGTCTTTGAACCACAACCTACATTCTCTCCCCGTCCTCACTACTTACTTGAGACTACAATAATGCTCGCCGTCTAAAAACAAAATTAAAGCTTTTCAGAGTCGCAATTTGCATGTAGGAGAAGCAGGGTTGACGGCTGCAATCTAAAAGTACCTACGACACTGGGGCATGCGAACCCCCCTCCCGCCCTGATGCCACTCGCACACCCACGTTTTTATGCAATTTATACTTTCGCAACTTAAGCACGATTTTCAGAGTGTTTTTTCTTTCGTGCGTCACGATGGAGGGATATTATGAAAAAGGAATGAAAAGTCCTCTACCCCTCCTTAGATAACTCCCCTAAACTTAGAGAGAAAAAAAAAAAAAAAAAAAAAAAAAAAAAAAAAAAAATCCGTTTTTTGCTCAGAAATTATCAGATACTCTCCGCAGCAGACTTAAAAAAAAAGAAATTCCAAATAGATTAAAGCACTAAATGCTCAAGTAAAATAAATTTGAAAAAAATTACAAAATAAAGTAAAAAAAGAAATATTTCTTATAAAAAAAAATGAATAGTTTCTTAGGTGAGGATGTGATAGTTAAGGTTCCATTTAAACTGCATTTACCCAAGTAAATAAAGTTTACATTTAAATTCAAAATTTGCGAAAAATGTCCTCTCATCCTTAAAATTTTTCTTCTAAACCATTGTCACTGTCCAGTTGAAATTGTCCTCCTTAAGTACTTAGAGACAAAAATGATTGGACAGTACTGAGGCAAAAACAAGAAAAACTTTGTGCAATTTTTTCGATCACATAAGTAAGTACTTAAGTAGACATCTTTGGACTTCACAGACATGCATTAGTCAAATACCCTGAAATCTGTTGGGTAGGCCAAAAAACTACATTGATTATGAAATAGTTGCTGAGGTAAATGATTCGATTTCAATATTATTTTTAGAGGTGTTCGATCACTCTTGGGAAAAAGTCACTAAGTATGTAACATTATTAGTAGTGGTAGTACTTTTTTATGTGATGAATTTTCCACTCAGGTTAAAGTCTTCAAAGGATCAGATAATATGGTATTGTAAAAAGTCCTTAGTTTTCTTGGGCTTGTGCCAAGTCAAATTTATACCTTTCCTTAGATTGTTACTGAAAATACTTGGAGGAAAAAAGATAAACTCTCCTTGATTAATGAAAAATCATTCATGGGTAAATATTTTGTAGAACCAAAAAAAAAATCTCAGTGCCTACGGTGCACACTTGATAGAGCTTCCTTAGCAAAATTTACCTCTTTCAATTGAGTATTCAATCATACAAATGAAGGTATGTAATTGTAAAAATAGAAAGCTAAGTATCACAATTCACAGACAAATGACTTTCTATAACTTCGTGTTTCATACTCAGGATTGCGGATAATTGTTGTCAAATTGTGAGGCATCATGATTTTTCATCCCTGCTCTTATAATATACCTACCTACTTTAAAGGTTTTGTTCAAAAATAAAAGTTTTCTTTTGAAGAAGGGACGTAAGTAGGAGCAGAAATTTAAATAGCCAACGAGAAATATCAATTTTCAGTTTTACTTTCTATATTGAGGCAATATTTTGAAAAGGTACCTTCTATTACATGTATGTATTATTTAAGAATTGAGAATGCTCATGAGTAAATGACAAACGCCTGTCTCAAATTCTAATGTGAATAATTACAAATAAAAGAGGATTTTTAAATTATTTGAAGAATTACCCATATTTGCTTGATTACTATGAATTTCTTTGAACCTAGCTCTTTGCCTGAAAGAAAACGTTTTCACTAATTCCGAATACTTAGGCACTTTGACAACGATCAGTGAGCCTGAAAATTCTGGAGGATTGAAATTAGTAAATAACGCAAGGATGGTAAATAAAAGGAAACGAACCAGAACACAAGTAAAAATTCAATAAAAATTTATAAAATTCAAAACAAAACATGGGTAATAAATAACAAATGCAAACAACCTAACCATAATTAAAAATGCTTGCTTTTTTGTATTTTTTTCTCTCTTCCAAAACTTAAAATAATTAGTGCAAAATGATTCACAGGATTTGATTTCAAAGGAGTAATATCTACCAGACCTTAGACCTAATTGACATAAGTTCATACATCAAACTCTGACCGCCAGTTTGTTTCAGCTCTAGTTGAGTACTTATTTCTCATACACCGAATAACTGAAACAAAAGAAGAAAATGATTATCTGGGCATGAAAATGTTATGTAGCTAGGGATGAATGCCATCCTAAATGGACTATTGGAGAAGATCTTAGGTAAGAAAAAATTTCACACACTTTCTCCTAAAAATCTCACATGGAAAACAATTCATACATCGGGAACTTCCGGACTACTACACCAATTATTTATGAATACTCTTAACATGTATTAGATGGAAGTTAGATTATACAAATGACATAATTTGTATTTTTGTCATTTAACCAATGTAGATAGATTTCCAGACTTCCTGCTGTGTAATTCCTCTTCATCTTCAAGAGACAATATTATCTGTAGTGCTTTGACTTGTAGATTTTAATTGATAAATCTTGGACAAAAATATAGCTTAACATATATGTTCTAGTAGAAAAAAAGACACACAAAAGCAGCCCAAAATGGAAATAGTAGGATGAAGACAAAAAACAGTGGTAACACGGCTAAAAACACAAAATTACACAGGACGTTTCGGTGTCTCACAAAACCACTATCAACCGCTAAAAAATTAAAATACAAATGAAAAAGAAATTAAAATCAAAATGAAACCTGCATGTAACAGCGTTACTTATATGGTGATAGTATATGGCTATATGGTATATGGTGATGGTGATGATAGATATATTATTCTACCTCTCCTTCTCTATTGCTAATGATTAATATCTTTTTTTTACTTATAGATTTAATATATTTAAGTGTTGTTTTTAAGCTGTTGATAATGGTTTCGTTAGACACCGAAACGTCCTGTGCAATTTTGTGTGTATTTAGCCTTGTTTCCACTGTTTTTTTTTCATCCTATATGTATATTCTAGAAGAGAGATATTTAACCAAAAAAATCAGGTTTCTTTGTTTTTTAAAGTCTCATGACAAGCCATTCTCACGGAGGCTCCATAAATAAACTATTGACTGAACAGACAGAGGAACATAAAATTGAACAAATATGAAGTCAAGCAATGGATGGAGACAAACATGCTAATGAATCTTCAACCGTTTTTGTTTCCAGTTGAATGACCTTGTCCTCCTAATTTCTCCAAGAACTTTCAGACGATCATTTCAATTTAAATAATCTCTGGTTGTTCACAAAAATTGAAAGTACAAGAATAATTTGAAAAATGGAATTAAAAAATAAAATACCTGAGTTTAGACAATCTTCAGTGCAGAAGTTTACGTGTTCCCTTTCTCATATTTGCAGATGACAGCAAACATTTGGCCTCCCAACTTCTGGGCAAGCCACCGATTTTTGATAACAGCTAATTTCAGACTTTCACAAGTAAACTCCGAATTTAAGTTGGTATGAACTGCTCGTCCCATGCCTTCAATTACAAGCAAGTCTACTGTCTTTAGTTCTTCTGCTAAATCTCTTGGCAGACGACTATAAGTAAAGAAAAAGAAAAAAATTTCTCATTCAGTTTAAAGAAAAGCATAAGTGAAAGAGAATACATTTGAATCAACAAAGAGGATGAAAGTAGGAGACTGGTAGTTTTCACAATAGGCTACTGGGCAGGGTGAGAGAGCATCCCAAGAAATGCTTGTTCAACAAAATTTTGCTCAGAAGATGTCCACAATCACATGAGAGATATTAGCGTTTATTGTTCATATTAAAATGAGTCAATTCAAACTTCTAACTTGCAAAGTTTTCCCACCATTCCACTCGGCCAGTCTTCTTCTGCAGCGGGTACTGATAATAATAGTTTACTCTCCAAACATCTTGAATGGCAGTACGCACTGTTTTATTGATAATAATAATAATTGTTCATTCTCCGAACATCTTGGATAGCAGTATGCACTGTTTTATTACGTTCATATCATAAAACTATTGTGACTGGTAGGTTGATTTGGTTGAAATTAACATTTTAGGTAAAAAGGTCCCCAAACCCACTTTTCATTTACGCTGGTTCAAAACTATGCTGTTATAAAAATTTCACGATTGCAGGCCTTTCTTTCCCTCTTCTAAGTGTCACGATTGCATACAAGTTGATCACAGAGCATCGATTTTTCTTTTGGAACAAGGTGGAGAAATGGTGCTGGGTCCACACCATTTTGCAGGGAAAACAAAGCCAAGAAATTCCAAAAATTAAAATTAGAGTCAAAATTATTTTTTGAACTCTAATGCATACCGGTACGAAACTGAAGGGGGGAGTGTTCAGTTCAGGCAGTTTGCATTGGAATATTAAGTTGGAGTCACGCTGAGGGATTTGTACCAGTTTGGGCCTTTTTAGACTTCATCAGCAGATCACTCAGTTTCATACTGGTACGCATTAGAGTTCAAAAAATAATTTTGACTCTAATTTTAATTATTGAAATTTCTTGGCTTTGTTTTCCCCGCGAAATGGTGTGGACCCAGCACCATTTCTCTACCTTGTTACATACAGTTCGGGCCACTTCTTAGTGTTTTTTTTTTTTCATTTTTCTTTTGGATCTACATCATTTCAAAAACTTTGAATGCATTTTTCTTAAAAGGCAGTTGTAGCATGAGATCTTCTTTTGCACATAATGCCTGAATTGACAGTGAAGGGAGTAGAATGTCAGATAACGTACCTGAGGTCAAGACATGGGCCCACTTGACCCTGTTGCATCGCGACAAGATCATTATTGTGGAGAGCTTTTGCTAGGATTGGATCGATAGCAGCTGCTTGTTTTAATACTACTAATAGTTCAGAATACGTAACATCATTGAGCGCAGGAGCTGAATTGGCACATAAAATTACCTGGAAAAAAAGAGTGGACAAAGTTACACATACAAAATGAAACTCAGATTTGGATGCATTTACAAGTGCCTGTTACACTGTGATTCAGCCTCAAGCTCTTTGAACTTGATATGCTAAAAACAAGTATATATGGGAGACAATTTAAACAGAGAAAACAGGAACTTTTGTTCTATTCCAGTATGAACAAATAGAAGTGATGTAGTTCTTGCACATGTGAAGGATTTGTGATTTAAGTACTTTAGCAGGGTTGCTGTTGTACCAATATTGAAGTCTCCGAACAAAATGGCAACCCTGCCTTGTACTTGCTCCCTATCTGCGCATGGAGAGTTTGACCAGAAATTGAGATGGATTCTCAACGTAGCATAGGATATCTCCTCCATTATGGCCTGAACTTTGAGAGCTCTTTTTGAGTTTATGCGTTAATTTCAGAGAAAATGAGTGTCACCGTCATATTTCTTGCAAAAATTTACAAATGGGAAAGCATTTAAATCTCAAATCCTCCACACATGCAAGAACTCCATTAGTAGGTAACAAAATTCAAATTTGGCTACCTCAAGGTATGATTTCAATATGTACTAGGTTTTTTTCATGGATGGGGGTCTGAAATTTCCAATTTTGTCTTTTTGAATCTCTATTTATACCACCTTGTTTAGGAAGCAAGGTTTTTTGTAGATTATGTTACACGCAGAATAAATTAAAGAGAAACTCAAAAAGAAAACGGATGGAGCAATATGCTTGACTGATGCATTTACCGCCCCATTTGTAATAAAAAAATCTTCTAAAACATACGATACGTTTTTGGGAATCTTCACTATTCCATCCTGGGTTTGAAATAACAATATGTAAATTACAGGCAAAAAGTAACCAATCTGACAAAACATACCTTTGTTCCACGAGAACACAGCCACCGTGTGAATGGCAGAATACCTAAAACAACATCTACCCCACTGTTATCGATAAATATGGCAGCTTTTTTATGAGGTTCCCCTTCCAAACGTTCAAGCCATTCATCCAAGCAATCAACAAGCCATGGTCGATCTGAAAAAGAGCATGGGAAATCTTCTGTGAGTTGCATCTTTTATTAAAAATGTTGAGCTGGACAAAAATATTTTATTTTACAAAGAGCGATATTTACAATATTTTATTTTTCTAGAAGCAGCTTGCAATATTCAACGGTGAATATATCAATTTTCTTTTTTTCCTCGTCACTGTAGTCCAAGGCAAAGTTCTCTAAGGCTTGAAACATTACCTGCTAACCATGAAAATATCAAAAAAATAAGCAGTGCAAAATGGAAAATATCTTCAGATTTTCAGGAGTTGAAAAGTCTGAGAGAAATTTTTTTTTTCAAAATATCAGAAAATTTGGGTTATCTGAGCTATTTTCATTCTTAATTTTGGTTTTCACTGTGTCTTGTTGATAGTTTCAAAAGTTTTTTCTTCGATGCTTTGGAATTTCTAGTTGCCTGCAGACAAGGGAACATTGAACATTGGGGGTAAAGCTGATAGAGACCTTCCTTTTAGCTGCCTTGAATGAGAGCAAAAGATATTAATTGTCATTGATTCTATATGGAAGAATTGTTTTTGTTGCTGTCAGAGATTAGCATTTCTGGACAGGAGCGATTGATAATTCAACTGTCTTGGTTAAACTGTAAATCAAAACAAATACTAGGTACTGATATCTTCAAGGATTCCAGGAAAAAAATCATTAAAAAAGGATAACAAACCTGGTATGTTCTCCCTGGCTTGCTCAAAACCAAAAGTCTGAGATTCCAACATTGTGGCTACTTCTTTGGCTCCCCAATCGAACATGTTACCGGCTAAAACGGAGACAACCAGCTCTTTCCGCCTTTCTTTTTCAGACAGGGCATCTAATTCTTTTAACCACTCTTTCAACAATGCAATGGCACATTCATTTTCTAGTTGTTTTTGCTGTAAAAAAGAAATTTCGATGGTAAAAAAAAATTTCAAATAATCACTGCATTAAAGTTTCTGCCCGATCCATGTTTCTCATCTGTAAGGTTGCTATGCCTTTTTTCCTTGACTCCTCAATTTTCTGTGAACATGTTAGAGGATATTTCAATATCGATTCTTGAACCTCTAAAATTTCTCATGGAGGTTAAAAAAATCACTGTGTCAATTAAATTAAATATAAAATAAATGACTTCTGACAGTATTAAGATTACAGAAAAATCACTAACTTAGGGTTCATTGAGTTCCCTAAATTCTGAATTCCCGGTATTTTTCCTGAATTGCACAAGTCTGCTCGAGGCTAGATTAACGAAAGCTGAGGAGGCTGCGGCTCTTAACAGTAAATTCAAAAATTCAAAATTTGAGGGTGGCAAATTTTTTTGGTCGTGTGTCAGTCTGGGCGAGGAAAATTCAGAATCTCTCTCTAAAAGCATTTCAATACAAAAACTTTAAATTTTTACCTGTAGTCACTGTGTCTTCCAAATTCCTACATGCTTTTAGCTTTTTCTTTAAAACCCTGTACTTTTTACAGTTTTTGACTGTAAATAAAATTCTGTGCTTATCCTAATTTTTTCTCTTTCACCCACTGCTGAGAACTCGGCTAACTGCAAAAACGCTTGATGCTTAATTCATTAACCGTCAGTTCCAAGTAAACTATTGGGTCCTTGGTTAATGCAACTCTTTGGAAAGCTATGCAGTTATAATAAAATTAAATTAAATGAATAGAGACTAACCACAAGAAACGGATCAGGAAAGTCAAATTCTCTCAAGCAATGTTCAATTGTATCCAATAAGCTCCTTACAGTTAGATTTCCAAATGCACTGAAATAGGATAAATGAAACGTTAGATTGCAAGTTGAAAATCCTGGCCTGCTCACTAATTGCTATCAATGCATTCCTACATAAAGAAATGAAGTTGTATGCAACAGTAAATATTTTGACGATGTAAGTTGGTAATTACATTTATAACTCGGTTTGCGACTTTGCAGACTTCCTATCATACTTTATTTTTTAAACAGAAAACTACTCAACAACAACTCTTTAAAACTGCCGTGATTTTTCCTCGCGGTGCGAAGAAAATTCTGCAAAAACTTCAAGGAATGATGTCAATTTGTTCTCCTTTAAAAAAATAACATAGAGGCGGAGATTTTCAGACACCCCGAACGAGATATGTGATTGCGGACTTACGCTGTCAATTTACGGTTTTTTCAACTGATTGATGAAATAACAGAGACACATCATTCTTCATTAAATCATTTTTGATCACAAAATTGCAAAATCAATCCAAGTTTGAATGTAAGCTAACAATAAGACTTGATCCAAACAACATCTGGTAAAGTGTCTCATTGAACGTAGATGATCAGGCTTTGCAGGCAAGTGTGTGCGGAAAATATGATTGAGTGCCTGTCACTACATTTTGCTTCTCAAGCTGCAAAATCATTTACAAAATGTTTGCAATAATTTTAACCTAATTTACCTGAAAATATTTTCAAGACAGGGAAGATAGTAAAAAAAAAAAAACTATAAAACAAAGAGAGATAGTTAAAATTTAGACTCACAAAGGATGTTCTTTCAGGTGGTGTAGGCGCGAGACATATTTCTCCTTGAGTTGTTTTGCCCTTTCCTCTCTGGTTGTACTGTATGGTTGACTGGCTACAGCACGTTCAATATACTTGTTCACGCTTTCTTCAAAACATGCCAACCAGTAGTCCCTAGGAAAGATCGAAAGTTGTCGAATGTTAGGATCTACTGATCAAAAGATAACTTTGATTCCCTCTTACTGTAATAATCTCACATGAGAAGTATTTGAACTATTTTTTTTTTTTTTTAAAAATTCCTCTACATAGACTAAACACCAGGGGAATAAAAGTTCCAAAATATAGACTTTTTTTTTGTTATATTTGCTTGTTTTTCGTTGATTGCTTCATAGTTGACAAATAAATAATGCTTTGCAATTTTATACAGTAAATTAAGATTCTAGACCTATAAAAGGAGTTTTTGCCGTTAAATAGAGACAATAAGTATGTCTAACCTTGCTTCTTGATCAGCATTGAGATCAACGGTGTCTGGAATGTAATTGGCTGGATCCTTCAACAAAGGACAAAAACGGAGGGGGCTTTCCCAACGATCTAACTCAAGCTGACCAAATGGAGCAGCACCTGAGTCCGCAGATTTCTGTAATCCACTACTACCAGCATAATTTTCAAGCCAAGAATACTTATCACTATCTACAATTACAGATAAAAACAAAAATGAAAGAATTAATTAGAAGAATACTTAAAATACTATGAATAATTTAATGGGATCAGTCTTTTTCTCTCTTCTCTTTGTTTTGATTTTCATGTAGTCTGCAGGTTTCTATTTGGAATTTTTATTTTTTATATTTTATTTTTATTCTTCCAACTGAAAATAGCTCAGTTTTGGGCTAATACGTCTCGGATTTTTTATGTGTAATTTTTAGATTTGTTTCCCGTTTTTTCGCCTATGTTTTTGATATTACCATCGTCACGGGCTGCTGTTTTAGAAATTTTAACTTATGAATATTTTAATTGATTCTACTATACTGACCTATTGAATTGTCTCTCATTGTACGATATCATTAAGCGCAAGTTTGGTACTTCTTAAAATAAATTAGTGCTATATGACATTAAAATTAGGTTCTTCCCACTAGTCCTTTGTCTTTCTTACGCAGAGAAATGTTTGGTTGATCAGAAATAGATCATGATACGAAAAATTCTGCAGTTGGAGAGGAAATAAAAAACATTATATGTAGCTCCATACTTCCATTTGAATGGCAATAGAACACATCCTAACTGAAGTGCACAGGAATGTTGACTGGAAGGAAAGTTCCCAAATACTTTGATAAAACTTTCAGGAATTAAAAATCATGGCTTAATTAAAAAAAAAAAAAAAGGTCAGTCAAGGCTGAAAACAAAAGAATTTTCTGTTTGAATACACATTATTCAAATTTTGTCTTATTGTTTTTTGATTTAGCTAAAGTTGTTACAGATTGCCCTGATCAGTATTCAATTGTCTGCAATTTGTTTACTTCAAATATTTGACTCATTAAATTCCGATCAACAACTTTGAGATTGATTGAGAGATTCTGACGACTTAATCAGAATGAAATAAAAACAGAATACAGTGAGGAAAACCAATACAAGACTATGCATGTATACTATCAGAGCACTGACATTTATGTTCAAAGTGCATCCATGATTTTACAGCAATTCAGCAGCAGAAAAGTCAAATTTTTTTGAAAAAAGGGTTGTATTTCTCTTAATTTTAAAGGGAACTGATTACACAGTTGAAAATGAGGAAGGCTTGGAATTTTCTGCAATAGTAAAATATTTTGGTTGATTAACCTGATTGGAAGCTCACAACTGCGCTTACTTACCACATTCTTCAGCTCCTTTTAGAAAAGCACCGATGGCTCCAAGGTAACCTTCATGCCGCAAAAACTGACACTGAACTGTTCCACGTGACCAATAATTAATAGAGAAGGACACGGTATGCATTGAAAGTGGATGATTTCGCAAAAAGTAACCTCCAAAATAAATCTGAAACATTGAAGCAAAAGTAGATAAATTGAATCATACAACAAAGTTTAAGCTGATTTAAAGTTATGAAGATTTCTTAGAATAGAAGGGGGGTAGTTAAGATCAGATGAGGAAGAAAAAAGTAAATAAAGAAGCATACTTACTTTGTTCAGCTTGTGCATCATTGCGTACAAAGAAGCTATGTGACCAATGTCATTACTAATTGTGAACAGAAGACTCCTTGCTAGGTCAGCATCAGTATATTGGGCACCACCTTAAATAAAATGAAATAAAATATTATGAGCCAGTTGAACATTTAAAACAAAATAAACTAAGAGAGAGAAAATTATTGTCGCAATAAGATACTTTGAATCATTTCCAGTTTTGAAAAATGAAAGTTACGCAGTGAGTTTAACTTATTCAAACAAATTTAAAGAAGAATTGCACTTGAAAACGATAGACAAAAGCTGAACTTCACCATTTACAATTTATGTTTCAAAAGCAAAACCGTTTATACCATAACATGTTTGGGGATGTGCACAATAACATTTCCCTGAAAAAGTGTAGATGCTCTATTTCGCATAACTGAACTAATATGGTTAACTTGTACAGATTTATTCTTTGCTGAGGAGTTCAATTTCTAATATTTTATTAAGAATGAAAAGCTGCTAATGTGATATTGTTTGTAGAGACTACAAATACTGAGGTTTAACTAACAATAAGCCTTGTCTGCGAAGTCAACTATAGTCCTATCTAATGTAACTGTTGCGATCTTCTTTTTACTCCGAAAGTTGTTTACTGAATATTCTGAAATAAAATTTGAGAGACACGCACCAAACAAAATCTGTTATATTTTCCAGCCACTACTCATTTCTTTTCCATGCTGAGAATATATCTCCCTACTCCATGTCAATATTGCACTTTTGCAATACTTTTTGAAGTGTGATTTTATACATTAAAAGAAAAGACATGAATTCAAATCTAATGAGATCTGAACCTCAGTTTCCTTGGTTACAAGATGGAGATACTTTTATTTTCAATTAAAAGGTAAGAATTCCTGAGTAGGGGTAAGTTTTAAGTCTATAAGTCTCCCTGTAAGTTTTGAGTCTTCAAACATTTAACAGAGGAGTAGAGTTACCTGTTTCCCGTTTAGGGCAAACTTTTCCAAAGGAGGAAGCTATGAGATCAGCAGGTAGCCCAAGTTTCTTATAATCACCACCATAAATGTCCTTTACCAACATATCAGCATTCCGATGATCTCCGCGTTCAGCAAGTTGCAAAAGTTCATCAAAGCCCTGCAAAAAAGGTGCATTTTTCATTAAAAAGAAAATATTATTTAAAACTGTCTCGGCATGATTTTGTAACGTTTCTGTTCAACAAAAAATATTGAAAACTTTAAAAATATGCATTTGCTACTATTTGATCAATTTTATGAGAGTTAATTTTACTTTTTCAATGTAGGAGGTAATTTTTTATGATAATAATCCTAGTAATTCCCCAAACTTTCTATTTTCAAATTCCTGATATTTTCTTGGCAGTTCTTATAATTAACTTTAACTGGGGGAAAAAAGCTGTCAATGATAATATTAATAGAGACTCAACATAATACTGGACTTCTGGTTAAAAATCCTCCACTTTTCTGATCAATCAAAATTTGTGAGATTTTCCAGTATGTAAGGATTTTTCTAGAGCTTGAACTTTCTGATCATTTTATCTAAGAGTCTGCTTATCTAAAAGCAGGAAATCTAAAACATAAAAAGGAGTTTTCAAAGGTGAAGGCTCATTCAGTACTACCTTCATGATTATCATTTAAAAGGTAAATTTGATCAATTTACTTTTGCTTTGGTTATGAGAGATCCTAAGCCCCAAAATGTACCACCACCAGTTGCAGTTCCTCCTATGCGCTCATAAGAATCTTCTGACTCCACCTAGAAAAAAGGGGGGAAAAAAATATAGAAATTAACACCGTAAAGTCAAGGAAGAGATAGAGAAAAATATGAACATCCTAATTTTAGAACCAATTCTCCGAAGGCACTAGTTATTGATACAAACTCGGCAATTAGAATGGATTCTCTTGGTCTGAATGTGACCGTTTTCAGGAAAAGGACCCTAGTTACGAAAAACTAAAAACTGAGTTAGTAGTGTCACTGCTGAAAGGAATTTTTCAGCAACATTTTCTAAGGAAAGATGCACAAATATGTTAAACAAAACTCGATGTGAAAGTTAGAAATGTGCCATCCAGAACATTTAATTTTAAAAAAATTCTCTTTAAAGTTAACATGTTACGTTATCATGTAATTAAAATGATTTGAATCTTTTACGATGGATTTTTTGGAATCATACGCATCATTAGCCAAATTCTAAATTTTTCAACCCAACTGGGCCAACATTTCTCTTCAGAAAAATTTGCTCTCTGCACATAGGTCTCGTTTCTTGAGGAGAATACGGTACAGAAAGTTAATGGTTGTTATGACAATCAAAAAATTATGATCGAAACTGTGTTGAATTCACTATCAATATCAAGAAGAAATGCTTTAGATGTTTCTTTTTGCTTTCATGTTCAGTACTTATCTGTTAAAAGAAGAGAAATATCTCAATAACAAAATGCTCTTTGATTTCTTTCTTCTGAACACATTGAATTTCTCACTTCGAGAAATTGAAACAATTTGAGAAGCATACAAGACTGAGTTTCTCTATAAAATATTGATAGATGATTAACTAACCTTCATGATGCTGACACCTGAGCCAACATTGACAAGAAGGTAAGGAAATATATTCGGAGTTGCTGTTTGAAATTCATACTCAGGATTTCCATGTCTATGATACACAAAGGCTTCATCACTTATATTTCTTAGTAAAAAATTACATCCTTTGATTAGACATTCCATTTCATCTTCTTTGTCCACTCTGGGAAAAGAAAATAAATTACAATAGAAAATTGCTGAAGTGCGGTGCAATTATTCATACATGGGAAAAGTAACAATGGTTAAATATTTGCAAATGCAGAAAATTACAATTATTATTTTTGAGGTAACTTATGTTTATTTGCGCTTTTGCAAGTACATAACTTTCGAAAATGTAAAATTTTTGAATTAACTTGCAATAATGGCAAATTCAAAAGACACAAAAGTGAATTAGATACAATGATGGTGCTTGTTTATTGGGAGACTGGCAAGAGTTTTTTATTCAAAACGGAGAATCGGTTTGTAACTTAACTCAAAACAAAAAATGCTGTACTGAAAAAATTTGTTGCTGGTAACTGAGGTTTTTTTCTTTAACAGCAGACATGTGCACCAGGAGTTCTAACTGGACATGGAACAATCTTCGAGGATCTATTTTCTTCAAAATTAAGTTTCTTAAGAAAAGAGCCATAAGAGGTTACTAAGTTATTAACAAATCAGAAAAGGAGAACTTACGAAAGTCCCAGTTTTTCAGCGATGAGACTTGCATATTTGTGAGATCCTCCACCAGTTGCTTTAATACTTTTTCCTGACATACTTTCTTTGCTGTTCACTAAGTTTGACCGAATGAAATCCAAGCAATCTGCAATGTACTTTGTTTCAAATTTGACAAAGTGCAATCGTGCGCCTTCTGATAGGGCGTATGTGAAATTTTCCTGAAAAAAAGAAAGAGAGGATTTAAAGTTGCAAATAATTGCAGGAACATAGGTCGCAAATATGTAAAAAAGAAAATAAGCCTAAACAGCTTTGTTTTTTTCACAAGTATGGAAGGAAAGGGATAAAAAGTTGACGGTAGATTGTCAAGAAAAAGTAATCAAGGCCCAGAAATTTTTAGAGCAGCATTTAAATAAACAACTTAGCATTGTTGTTCAAAAACACCGATTAGGATGAGCCTGCAAAATATCAGGCAATGCTGACTGCAGTGTAGAGAGCTGATTCTCTAGATGAGTTATGGAAGTACAATACTTTGAATGGGATGATGCATAAATAAGTCATACCTATTTATAGAGGCCGTATCCAATCCATACCCAATGCAATGAGGAATCTAATCTAAGCATTAAATGTTTACGTTACGTTCTCTATCACCCTATTTTTCATCAAGAAAACAGCACATACTTTCAACAATCATCTTCTTGACAGACATTTCTTCATTTAATTGGTCTTAAGTAATGTTATAATTGCATGATGTATACTTCAAAAAAAAAAAAACAATCGAACTTTGTTGATTTAATTAATACTATTCGAGTACTACAAACCAATGAATCCCCAACAAGCTGCCCCTGTTCGATTCATTTTTTTCTATGTTTGAGAAAAAATTGGTTGAAAAAAGAATGAAGTTACAGAGGACATTAGTACATAACAGCCAATAGTGAATGGTCTCTTTTTGCAACACTCGATGGAGATGTAAGTGGAAATTGCTTACTGCTAGACAAATAATTGGATAAAAGGCTTTGAATTTCAAATTATAAAGTCAAAAGAAATGCTTCCATTAATTAAAACTGGTACGATTGAACACATATTAGCCAATATTATCAACAAGTATTAATCTTGAAAGGAACATTGAGAAGGTATTTTGAGGCATTAATTCTTGGAGTATATACCTCATTCGGAGCATTATCCTTTTCCGCTTCATAGTTTACTTTTCGATGTGAAACCAAGGAGTAGTATGCTATTTTTGTCAGAGAACCACCTGTAAAACAAAACCATATCAATTGAATATCAAGCTCGAGGACGTAAATAGGTAAATTGACAAAATAAAGAAAGAAAAATTCCTAGTCAATGAATTACCATGTTGCTGATAATGGTTGCTCAGTGCAACCAAAATGCGTCTGCTGAAAAAGCAAGTCCACATGCAAGTAAAGCGTCTTTCTCTTGCACCAACTAAGACTACAAACTGGCTCAATGGTTACCTTCAAAGAACATCAGCTCAGCATTCTTTGAGAGACAACAATAACGGATGAGTTACTTTGTGGGCTTTAGTTTGTGCATAGGATGGACGCTTAAATAAAACTTACGTTTAGTCATCACCTGTTCTAGTACCAACCCAACCCTCTTTCTCTGAAATACTAGCTCCCTGACACACTAAAATATGCAAATACTTAATAAGGCCAACATTCTCTATTATCAGCACTTAATCATACTTTAATGCAGTAATTTGTATTGTTATTTATTGCTAGTAACTGTGTATTTACCGCATTTATATTGTGGAATTTGGGCTATTAAAAACTAGAAGAATAAGTAACGTGCTTTATGTTTGCTCTCTTGGGTAGTGTGCTTCAAAATTACTATGCTCAAAACTGCCTATGGGCGGTATTTCAAAAATGCCTTTAAAATATGGTAGGAGATAAACAGCATTTATTAGCAAAGCCCAAGAGATGAGGTGATTTCATAACTGATGAGCAATGGACTTCATAGTGCTGTGAGGAATTGAGTTATTATACTGAAGAGAAATTGATCCGATAAAACTAAGATGCAATAATAACTATGACATGAAATGAGATTTTGGGGGATATAGAGGAGTCTTCAGGATCATGAAAGAAGGGGAGATAATGAAAAATTGTATGAAGAGTGTACTTAAGTAACTGAGGAGAAAGTTAGTTACCGATATCGATGGCGAAACGCTTGGCATTCTTCAAATTCCTGAATATTTCGAGTGTGTCCGGCAATTTGATACTGCTTGGCAATCCTTTTTCGTTCATGTTAATGAGGGATGAGTCGCCGATTCCGATGATTTTGTACGATCATCAATGATCAGGAGCGAGCAATGAACGGACAGATAACAGAAATACGTGTGAGTGAGGTGAAAACACTCGAAATTTTTTAACATAAAAAGCACTTATAACAATTACGACAGCGTTGCTTATTGCTTTATTTACAAAACAAAATATTTTTTTTCCTCGTCACTTTGAGGTTAGTTCAGATCAGCTGATCGGAATTGTTGTTGATCTCTTCCTGTAGAGTGCAGCAGCGCCGCTGTCATCAGTTTTACGCGCGAAATACAAATTTCTCATCACCCGTCTGTCCCCACCCCTCCCGCCCAGCCACTAACGATTCATGCTTTCGCTTTCTTTCTTCGCAAAAAGAGAGTGCAAAATGAGGAAGCTTTGAACTTTCCAGTATTCTATTGGAAGGAGAAATAAATCAAACTGTTTTCTTTCAATATTGCAGTTACAGTGCTAATTACAATGCCTCGAAGTGACAGCATATTATTTTCATGGTATTTAAAAATGACAGGAAATGTTAACTTTTTTACTTGATAACATAAAAGTGAGTTTTGTTTCATAACTTTCATATATTTTTATGATTCACTTACATTACCTACTTCTTTCCTCTATCTTCTCTTTTATGATTTATTTATTTTTTTTTTTTATAAAAAAATGTCTCAAACAATATCTTATTTTTCGTCTTGGTAAATTAAGCAGTGGATTTTTTTCTTATCAGGATTTTCGAAAAAGATCAAGCTAAGTTACTTTATTTATATCAGATTATTATCAATAAGATGCTGACGTTATCACGGGAAATAATAAAAAAAGCTTTACGTATTCATCTCCCTACCTTTTTCACATTCATCTCGATACGTCGATCGCAATTTTCAATTAATTGCTCTCCAATGTATCAATATTTTACGTACCTGACCCTGAAATTTGTATAGCTCTCACCTCAAAGGAATTTAGTGTGAGTGAGGTTGATATCCTCTGAACCAACATCTAGTCAATTTAGTTTATTAGATTTCGTAAAATTTGATGATCATTGGTTAATCACACGTTGGTGATGGTTGGGATCATTGGTTTAGGTATCTTGGTTTAATCACATCGGTCAGACCAAGAGAGGAAATGCTAAAGAGGAGGGGATCATCTGCATTCAGGTGATATAAAATAGTATCGAATTTTAGCTCCATCTAAATTTAATAAAAATTATGTAAACGCATAACTACAATGTTAAAAGGCTGTAATCTAAGTAACTCAAGGTCTGTTTTTATAAGTTCATAGACACCGCTTCATTTTCCGACTCTTTTTCGTCCGCGAGTCCGTGATGAAAAGATTTGGAGTAATTCACGGGAGCCCTCGAAGCGGACCTTAAAGAGCACGAAGCGCCTTCTGAGGGGTGGGCTGCGTAGCGGTTAGGGTAATCTTCTATATGTGCAATTGGACTGCATTTTGCAGTTATAGGAACTGCAATTTCAGGCGCGTCTACAAAAGCACCCACCTACGTTCAGGAAACTTACGGCATTTGTGCTGTTAATACATTGGACTAGAAATTGTAGGTCCTAAGTGCAGAATGAATTCCAATTCAGACAAAACGAATACCCATAACTACGACTTTTTTTTTCAAGGACTTACCTAGCGGTGGGATTTTTTTAAGTTCAGAAACGACGCGGCAAAGCATGGTTCAGTTTAAAGACATTAGGTGTTAAACATTTTTAGTAAAGAACAAAAATCTCTCCAAAAGGAAATAAATAAAATAACCGAGAGGAATTTTGGCGCTCCATGCTTTTTTTACCACCCTCGACGCGACGAGCCTGAAAATGAGTGAAAATTCCGAGAAACAATATCCATCGGCTCCCCTTTGAAAAAAAAGTGTGATAAGAGACCTACAGCATCGCAAATAGACTTTTTCGACTTTCACCATCGTTGCACTCGGGCGCCAGCGCACAATGGATCGAGTCAGAAGAAGAAGTCGGACAAAATGTGGAAACTTTAAACGCTTATATCTCCATTTACACAAGACTTTGAAGTTCTTAAAGTGGTTCCATTGGTTTTCTCGTGAAATTTTCTTCAAGTAACACCCCTTATAGTTTAAAATTCAACGAAATTAACATAGAAATTTGCAGTTTTAGTCAGGAAATTCATGTCCGACCTTTCTAATTGACTCGATCCACTGTGCGGCGTTTGTGCTACGCAGTTTTCATTTTCATGGGGGAGAGTGTAAAACTGGACGCATTCATGCCAAAAGGTCGCATGCATACCAATGGATTTTAAAAAAAGGAACTATGAACGGAGAGTCGGCATGCTTCATAGGTCCTTTTGATCCGGTTCATTCGTAGATGGTTCCATTCAGCATAAACACGTCCAACTTGACCTCGGCGACGTGAAAAAATACAGGTCCGTAGGCGCCGCGACGCGATCCGGGCGTCTCACGAATCATCTGTCTTTGCGCACTTTGACCCGAAAAGATAATAATTAAGAATGAATTTTCGATAAAGAGAGAGTCCGTGCTTCCTTGAATAAAAACAAGTTAGTCGAATGTTGTCGCTTTTCAAAATTGCAGCGCACTCCCCGGATCGAATCCTCCATGTGTCCCGAAAGCCCGCTGATACCACCGTACCCCACGGGTTTCTCTAAGATTGCTGTTTTTATACGATGTTAATTTCGTTCGAAAAATCTCAAACTTAAAAAAAGTACACTATTCGTGTCGCTTCTGAAGTTCGCCGGTTCTTCGAAAGTTTGATTTAATAATATTAAAGCAAAACAAGTCAACCGGACTTTCCTTTAGCGTCAAGAATTTTGTTGTGAAGAAGTCGAATATGACAGACGGATTTGACGATCACCCATCGGTAAGTACTTTCTACCGTCCGTTTCCGCGTGAATTAGTGCGGTGTAAATTTGTAGTGAATTTGAGCGTCGGCGGTTCCGAAACCTCTTCACCTGCCGTAACATTGTAAATCATCCTTATTTTTATGATAAAGTTTAAAGTGCCTGACATCACTGTCATTCTTGGAAATTCGGAGTGAGTGCCCTTTGATATGCACCGAATCCAGTAGAAAGATACCAATTTGCATCAAACTCGAGCCGAGGGAAGAGGGTTTGGAGTTTTGTTCCTTCACAAGATTTGATGTTGGAAATAATGCTTGCTCCCTTTTTTTACTTTTAAGATATTTTTCCTAGACCTTAACTTTTCGACATCAATCATCGCCGAATTTAGTTTGGTTCCTCTCTCCTAGATTGTATCTATGTATTTATAAGTACATCAGATATATCTTCATTTGGACGAATTTCTGTCAAACGGAACTAAGCGCCCTAGTGGGAGGAAGGTAGGCGGAACCGGGCGTCGGGCTCATTCCGTCCTATACTCGCAATGCTTTTCCACGGCACTAAGTTCCGTTTGACAGAACGCGCTATCCGGCATTCTAATTTCCTCAAAAGGAACTCAAATTGGCGCTTAATTCCGTTTGACAGAAATACGTCCATTTAACAATTTGGGTCTCTTGTATTTGTAAATGGAGCAAAGAAGCTTTGAGATTAGTTTAATAAAAGTTGATGGAACCAACTAATGTCGCTACCCAAGTAACACAGATTGCAACTATGTGGTTAAATTATTGCTACTGCATTGGCGTGTTGTGTATGTTGCCTATCTGCCGATTGGAGGAACGCTCCTTATTTAAATTTATTGCAAAAAATTGAAATGCTTTGTAATTTTTTATTGCACTGCAGATTTCCTATCTCTCTAAGACACATGGATGATAGTTTAAAATTGCCGTTTACCAACCAAATTATGTGAAAATATTGCAATTTCATGGTAAAAAGAAAAACTGAATTTTTATTACATTATCGCAATTGTATTCAAATATTTTCATCGCATTATGCTTCTTGGTTAGTTGTAATATATGTGTGATATAAGTTACTAATGAATTCAGGATTATAGGTTTTAAAATTTTCAAAAAATGTGTACAGCGTTTCAGAAAAACGGTTTAAAAATTAAAGCCACTGGTCAACGAAGGAGGTGACATCCTTGTGATCAAAATTTTAAAGTGTAAACACCATGTTGCATCATGAAGCTTATAAAAAATCTAAACTGGTGTTGCGCAGTTGCAGATCAAGTTTTTGAGGTCATCTTGTTTGTGCAAAGCTCAGCTGCCTCAAAACCGCATTCTCGTTCTAAACCGCCAATTTCCTAATTTTCCAAATAAAACATCGTATACCTCCTCCTCTCTCCCGCTGGCTTTAATTACGACAATCATCTAGCTCGATTTTCGAGTCTTGGCTCTTGAACTTAAAATGACGGATCCTAACCTCGATGGTGTCAAAACAATAAACAAAGGCACAGATTCCCCCGCTTCCTGTCATAGCTAGCATGCAAATTAACCTAATTCGATGGATTGTAAAAAGAACCCCAGTTCATTTTCGGTTGGAAAAACTGTAAAATACCTGTGCGCAAATGGTCGACTTCTGTGATCAGCCCTGGAGCGAGAAACTCGTACTCCGAACTGGATTGCATGTTGAATGAATGACCTTCAGAACACAGATTGAACAAGTACTAGAAAATTGCACGTGGGTGCCATACACACTGTAAAGTTTCTCTCCTACGAGTGTGTCTTAATTCCTCTAATCGTGGACGGCAGGCCATAGGTGCGGACGTCATTCTGGTGGGATATGCGGAGTTGGGATTAGCGCTCCGCCGTAGCACTGACTTTCAATCAGTGTTCAGAAGCCGATTGATGCGACGCGTTTAATAAACGGAGCAGATTATGCTGATTCCATGTTAATGCAGCCTCCGAGATCTTACTCGCTCTCCTACTCTAAAACGAATCGATCTTTTTATCGACTGACAGGAGGTGCAAATTCAACTGTCTAGATTTTTTCTCTTTTTTTCGTGCGTTTTATCAGAGGGCCAGATTACGTGAATACGGATTTTTTCCCATTCCAGGGCACGATCAGTGTTGCGACCTCGCGGAAATGCTGCGGAAAGACTCGAGGCCTTGAAAGCCTCCAAAACAAAGCGAGTAAAAAACAATGTGTTTGTCGGGGAACTCTATTTGTGTCGCCTCCTGCCGGTGCCAGAAAAATTTGCATAACTCTTTTAGTTTTTCTCGATGTGGTAAAAACAATCGATGTAGGTAAAGATTGTAAAACTTATGAAAAGCACTGGTAAAAATGTTGGTGTGAAATCAGGAGTGCATTTCACTCCGGGGCCTATGTTTTTCTCAAACAAACGGAGTAACATGAGTGCTGCCCTGACAGCATACTGAAATGGAAATTTTGAAATAAAAGTGCAATTTTCTTCTATGAAATCGCAATATTTTTGTATCATTTGGCCAATAAATGCCGTTCTTAAGCGATGGAGGAAATGATCCCCTTACATAAGAGGGATCGGCAATTTGCGATGAAAAAGAAAAGAAAATCTTATTTCAATTTCATTGCAATAAACTTAAATAAGAGGCGCCCCTTCAATCGATGGATAGGCAATACGCACTACACTCTGATGCGGTAGCAATAATTTTACAATGTTATTGCAGTTTACTGGAATCTTTACTACTTGGGTGAACAGAATCCTCGCCTATGGCTGAGTGGGCTCTGATTTTAAGATTTATAGGGTTCAATCCTGATTCGTCGAGTCTTTTTTTTAAAAGTAGTGTAGATTTCGGAATGAAACGTATTCCACTCAAGATGTTCAACAGTCTGTTTAAGTTTTAGTGCAGGACAGGGTGCGAATACATTTTTAAGAATTTGAGGGTACAGAGTTTAAAATGTTCCCTGGTAAAAATTGGCAGTAGAATGTGTGTTCCAAAATACTATAGACCTGTAGCCGGCTGTACAATTTCTTATAGCCTCTTATAGCCTATGGCGATTAAGCAACAGCCAGACGATAAAGTTTATGCTAAACGTTACTAAATACGGATACTAGGACTTAGTTAGTTTTTGGACTATCGCTCTCGTTTTGTGCCGTAGTATCTTGATTTATTTTGCGAGGAAAGCTCCGTACTTTTGAAGGATGCCTGTCATTCTTACTATATTGGAGCGCCTTAAATTTCTTATGATACTGTGCAATACCTCTGGTGTGAAATAGTTGCTTCAGACGCCGTGGCACGCTGCGGCGCGGCGGGCGGGCAGAGAGCGCGAAACGCGCATTGCGCAATGCGTGAAGTATCCCTGTTAGGTTTGTAGGCGCCAGTGCGTCGCCGCGCAATGCGTGAGGTATCCCTGTTAGGTTTGTAGGCGCTAATGCGTCGCCGCTCCGCTTTGTGTCAGGCTCTAATATTTAATCTCGCGGAGTCAGCGTTTTTCAAAGAACTCATGATTTTGAAATGTTTGCACACTCGTCTGTACGGACCATCTCATTTTAATTGATGAAAAAAAAAATATGTTTTAAAGGAAAATATAATGTGTGTTTTGTAAATATTAAGGTAGTTCCGTATTAAACTTAATGATTTCCAAAGCACACGAATTGCTACACAATTTCTTATAGCCTTTTATAGCCAATGGCGATAAAGTGTAAAGCCCGGCGATAGGAACTATTGCCCGACTGTATACTTTTTTATAGCTTCGTATAGCCCGGCTATATGATTTGCTCCGCGTTCTACAGCCAGCTATATGATTTTCAATAGCCTTCTTTAGTCAGCTATAAGAGCTCCTATGGTATTTTGAAACGCAGCTCGTATCGCCAATTTTTACCAGGGTTAAAATTTATATGGGATCTGTGAATCATCAAATATTTACATCGGTGTGTTGGTGCTGAAAGTTGAGTTTTTAATTACAGAGGTTACCCTAAGACAATTTCCGTTCATGATCATTAAATCTCAATTTTTCAAAAACGTATTTTACCCTTTTCATTCTCCAGTGGCCGAAAAGGACTGCAGTTAATTGTCCTTTGACGTGGCTTCATTATGTTCCTAGTTTGAGCTGAAACACGAGCGACCAATGTTCATTCGCAAATGTATAACAAATAATGTGCGTGCTTTCAATAAAAGTATTTTTTAGGGTATATCGGGGTCTACAATAACTGTACCTAAGTGCAAAAAAATGATTTTAAAAGAGCGTAGGTAAGAGATTCTTGTAGTTCGGTGCATTTGCTAAATGCCACAAGGCGGCAAAAGCTGATTGGACAATTGTGGCAATACAGAATGCGCTTTGGTGTACATTCATGACAATTCACAGTGAGACAATTTATTTATTTTATATTGTAGAGTATATTTTTACTTCTTTCTTCTTTTTGATCGGAGAGAGGGCTAAATGGTGGTATTGACAAAAAATTGAGAAGCTGCTACTGGGAGCTAACCAGGTCTGACATTATAACGCATCTTGCGCCGCCTTATGGTATAGTTTTCACTTCTCTTTCATTGTGGGAAGTATACTACAAAGTATTCTGAGTGAGGAAATCGTTATCTTTTAAAAAAGCTGGAATCGTGGAAAATTAAAGTTGGGGGCACAAACCTTTAAAACAAATGGACGTGGCCTTTGTGTAAGTTGCTTATTTGATGGCAAAGTCGATTTTCTTTTAAAATTCATGGTATGAAAACAATTTCTCACCTCTACTGTCCAGCGTGAACAACGTTACTCTAGTACTCACACAAGGCATTCTACCACGATGAAGTTTTCTGGGTTAGAGAACTAATTCACGTCGATTGGTTGTTTTATTGGTTTGGTATTTGATAAATGTACGTAAACAATTGATTGTTTGATTGATTAACAGAGAGTATGATTTCATTGAAAAGCTACATTCAACTGTCGCAAAATTTCCGCTAACTAGTTGTATGTTTACCAGGAAATTATTTGGCATCTCTAACTGAAAATTTCACTAATTTTTTTTCTCACATTTCGCCAAAATCAGCGAAATGTTGGGTAAGAATTGCACGGTCATATTTTTGTAAAAAATATTGTGGAAATGAATTGTTTGAGTCAATTTTGCAACTACGGAATGGAGTTACGTTTTTTCATCCGGGGAAATGATGCATTCCGATATTTTTCTCTTTTTTTCGTAAACTAATTTTGTGTTATTGTTCAATTTCGCAGAACAGGCCACGGCGAAAGTCTTTGGACTCTGACAGTGAATCTCAGCCTCTTTTAAGCTCCGACCACAGCTGTACCAGTTTATAGTGAGTTTAATTATAATTCTATGTTGTTCTTGTATTGCAGTTTGCAATCAGACTCCATAGTAGATTACTAAGTCGTGGCTAGCTACGTAATAAAAATTATTTGAATTACCATGTTATCTGTCACACTTTGCCAAAAACGACCTTACGTTGGTGAGTGAAAAATATATGTAGCACCATGTTGATGCCAACAAACATTGTTCCTTATGGAACAATGTTTGGACCAAGTTGATACCATGCTGATACCATGTTTTTTCGACAGTATGATCCAAAAATGATCAATTGATTGATCACCCAAACGATTGATGTTACCAAAATGATCGTTTTTAGCAAGGAAAAGCTTGTGCTGTTTGTGCCCGGCTCACCAACTCACGCCTGTTTTAAACGATGAGGTGCTTACTTTTAATTTTCTTCTTTTGGATTTGAAAGTATTTTTATCTCTCCTTTTGGAATGGATCACAGTTTTTTTTTGTTTGAATTTTAGTGATCCAACAACCACTGGCGTGTTTCGGTACGATTCCGAGAGCGAGTGGGACAACGAAGCAAACAAACAAGATGTACAAAGTAAGAAAGAAACAAACAGTTTGGGCGCATTCAGGTAATTATCAATCCCATTTCTGCATTATTGTCAACAGTCCGAGTTTTCTATGATTTTATCTTAGCAATACCTACCGTGAAAATTACAACATTGAAGTAAAAGCTTTATGAGACTAAAAGTCAACATATTCTAGAGACAGGGCCGGATTTTCCTACTTGCCACCCATGGGCCGCCTGTATTTTGCCGCCCCCTTCTCATTCGTTTTGAAACATCAATAAAAAACATTAAGTGAACTTGCCAGCGGGGGAGGGGTGCATAAGACGCGTTCACTCGTGTTGAACTCGTTTGGGAAAGCTCTGTCAACACTACTAGCAAAAGGTCACGGAACTTTGCGCGAAAGTCAAGTTTCGTAAACCTATCTCTAATGGACAAGGCCTTCCATTCATAGGAAATGAACGAAAAAATTATGAAAGAACAAACACAAAAGGTTTAATAATTTTAACTTCCGCCGCCGCGCCGCGCAGACCGCACCGTGTTTGGCGCAATGCGTGGAGTATTCATGCATTCTTGTAGGCGCTATCCGTTTCTGACCACAATAACCGCACTGTGTTTGATGCAATACGTGAAGTATTCGTGCAGTCTTGTGGGCGCTAATATATGTTACATGCCGATTGCCGCGCCGAGGGCTTCTCCTTTTCATCTCAAGTCCTCGTCATCATTTCTCCCTAAGTCGCGCCGTTCCAGGCCAAATTATGGGCTTGGTTTCTCTCTTAACTCGACTAATTAAAGGTGCAGTCTCTTGTGTCACTGAAAGACGACTAAATTATAAATTACTATACTCTCAGGAAATGAGAGATTTTGTAGCCTTTTCTCGTTTGTAATTTTTTCCGAATCCGATTTTTTTTTATACCTACATTTTAAAAAATTGCAAAATTTGCCGCCATGGGCCGCGGCCCATGTGGCCACCCCCTTAATCCGGCCCTGTATAGAGATACCTTTCCTTTTGAAACAATTATCTTGCGAGAGACTTTCAGCAAAAAAACTCAGTTTTTAGTTTGAACGTAGCGGAGAGAGTAAGTACCGGAAAAAAATCAACGCTCTTAATGATCTTCTTAGTCAATATTCTCTCTTCAGTATTCTTCATTGCGTTTCCTAAGAACTGTGGTTTTTTAAAACTTCTCAGTTTGAAAGTTTGAATTAAAATTATTTTGTTATTTACCTACGGATCTCTCCCGTATGAGTTACGTTTCAATTCACAAAATGATGTTTTATTTCACAGGTCCATCAGTTTACAACATAAAAAGCCCGATGTTCCAGTATTCAACCGAAAAGCATTTTCCTACACACCAGCGCCCAGATACGCTGAGGTGAGTTAGTTTCCTAAATATTATTTGAAGTATTGTTCTTATTATTTATTATTGCATCAA